TTAACTAATAGATCAAATATTTCGTCACATTTGGATATGTCGAAACTATAAGTTTTCTTAGGAAATTTGTCACTGTTTTTCTCAGGCTCTACAGGATTCTTCCCATTTGATGGCACTAACAATTTACAAGAATATGGTGGTCCTTGTTTGAATTCTTCTAAGTCTATTTTGCCTTCTTCGACATCTATCGGATCACTAGATGTCTCTGGATCGTTATCATCCATTTCGACATAGGCTACCCTCTCTCGTCGATAAGTTTTGGTAACCTTAGCTTTCTCATCTTTAAGGCGTTCTACTTGTCGAACTCTATCAGCCATTTGGGCCATATCTCTTAGGTATTATGTATCTAACTTTTTCCTAATCGAATAGTCCAGGCCCCCTGCTGCTATTTCGACCAATTCATGCTCAGGAACTTGGGTAAGGCATATGGCTTTGAGTAATCGAAACCTATTTAAATACTCATCAATTGGATCTATAAACCTCCTTTTTACACTAGCCAATTCTTTTAGACTTATCTTGGTTTGACCCATGTAGAATTGTTCATGGAACAATCTTTCCAATTGGTTCTAGTTGTGGATCGAATTGGCTGGGAGAGTGGTGAACCAAGTGAAAGCATTCTTGGTTAGGGAACTTGGGAAATATTTGATTCTAAGACTTTTGTTGTTTGCTATTTCCCCGGCCTCGATCAAATATCTGGCCACATGTTCGACAGTCGACTCTGTCGTATCCCCTGAAAATATAGTAAACTTTGGAACCTTTCCCCTAGGTGGTAAGTCTGTTTGCAGAATATATTCTGACAATGGGGATGTAAAGTTTGGTCTGTGAAAAATAACATTCATCCCGTTTTGGATCATAATCCTTTCGATCATGGCAGTTAGATTATTGTCCGTCCCATAGTTTTGGTACCGAACTTGCTATATTAATTCGTCAGCATTTTGGTTTATATTAGCCATAATAACTCCTTGATCGATTTCTCTAGGGTGTCGTGGTACTTCGACCCTTGGTTGTTCTATTTCTACTCCAGGAATCTGGGGGTTTGGATTAACGGTCAAATCCTCTTCCATAATTACCCCTTGATTTGCTCTTATTAGCATTCTCTGGGGTTGTCGAACAACTTGGGGTACTCCAAAGAATTCAGCCATGCGCGTCATTTGCGCTGTCATCTGTTGATTCGACTGTGTAGCAGTCTGGATGAGGGGGTTTAGCACTGTACTTAGAGTTTGTGCTAACATTTGTACCATATCATGATTACTCTCGTCCATCTGTTGCCTCAAAATTGCTGTCGAAACATTCGTGAGGCTTGGTATTACATGAGATGGCCCTCCCAAAAATTGGTTTCGACTGGCTCCAGACCCCTGTAATGGCGATGTCGCATTCACCAAAGGTTCTGAAAAAATGGAAGCAACATTCATAAGGCTAGCCATTTCAGTAGTTGGCATGCCATATGGTTGCTCTCGACCCATCCAGGTTGTCAAAAATTCTATGGGCACAAATGATCGGGATCCTAGGTTTACCCTTGGTGGAGGCGTTCCTAATGGACCTCTTGGACCTACACACGAAAGTAAGGGTCCAGTTTGATTTGTAGTTAACGTTGGTATTGATCCAACGGAGGTTGGGATATTCCCTTCGACAACGGTATTAACCACTGTTCCAGTAATTGGTGGAGGTATTTCTCCATGATTTGGCTCGTTAGCCATACTACTCTCGCTATTTTTCTTCCTAACAATATGGTTGTTGGTTACTTTACCACTTCTCAATAACATGCAACGTTATAACTGTACAAGGAAAACACAATAACATAAACAAGATTTTTAATAAAAATTAGCAACGTCCCACTAGGTGTGCCAATTTTTTTACCGTGGTTTTTGGTAAACAACCGCTGATCTCCAAAAAGGAAAGTGATTTTTGGTTTACTTACGGGATCGATCAGATTAATCCCAGAATATATGCTAATTTTTATGTAAGACGGATAAGCAGGAAGAACGCACGTTCGACCCAGAGAAAAGATGTTTGAGATTTTGGAAGAATGGACAGGAAAGTAGAAAATGCAGGTAAAGAAGTAAGAAAGATAACTTTACAAGATAATATTAAAGTAATATAAAAGACTTTCATTAATAAAAAGAGGTGTTTCCAACGTACATTTCTCAATTTTATCCTTTCTCACGCAGTGATTACTTGGATAATGTTTGAGTGACTAGTACAAATAGTTGAACACACCAAAAACTACACAAGTTTCCTAATTTATACTAAAGATAAGTAATCGTCGAGGGATCATTCTATGCTAAGATGAAGACAAGTGTCTTCTGCATGTCCCTCGACCTATGGCTTTCAGCCACATTGCTTCTTCTTAGCCGCTGGAGAAACTGCCTTTCCCTCCAATAATTCAAAATTCAAATATCCCTCGTATCATGTGTCAAAGCGAAGATATTTTCTCTCCGTCGAAGGACATAAGTCCTCTTCAGTCGAACAGGCCTAAAGGTGAGTTCTGGTAGAACGTTCAAAAATAACTTAGATTTTCCTCCTAAGTTATTTCATATGTCGAATATTCTTCTTGTCTTGGTTTATTCCAGTTTTTTGGTCTAAAAGACCAAATATAGTAAGTGTCGAATTTGGAAGTCAACAGTAGGGATTGAAGCTTCACCTTCTTTACTGATGCGTCACCACCATAACATCTCACCAGTAAATCCCACGCCCCTTTTGACGTTGTTGAATCAACAATCTTCTCGAACACACTTTCATCAACATACTGATGGATATAGAACAGAGCTTTCTGGTCCCTCTTCCTCATCATCCTCTCAGCAGTTCTCTATTCTTCAGTTGCATATGCTGCAGCTGGTACATAACCATCTGTAACCAGATCCAGAAAATCTTGCGCACCAAATAACACACGCATTTGTATCATCCATCTGTTCCAGTTTTTGCCATTAAAAACTGGAAGTTTGGTATTCAAACTACTGTCTCCACTCATTTTAAACCTTGCACGGATTTTTCAGATCTTCAAACACACTGTTTCCCAACCCACAGAATCAGATTTTGTTCATATTTTTGTTTAAGATTTAAAAAAAATGAACAAAAATCAAACACACAGCTCACAATCACTCGTGTTTCCCAGGAAAACAGAACCAAGTGCTCTTGATACCAATTTGTTGGTGCAAGGTAATGAAAGGGGAGAAGAAGAATGAGCAATGAATGATAACAAAGAGGACTACTATTGTATATCAAATAGAGGAATGAATGAGTTGGAAATTTACTAAACTTCCAGATAAGAAAAGGCCATCAGTGTCAGATGGGTTTTTAAGTTGAAACTTAAGCCAAATGGTTCAATTGGCAAGCACAAAGCTAGACTAGTAGCTAGAGGTTTTCTTCAGAAACTTGGGCTAGATTACTTTGAGGTGTTTGCGCCTGTAGCTAGGCATGAAATAATCAGACTGGTGATTGCTTTAGCTGCAAATAGAAATTGGCCTTTAATGCATCTGGATGTGAAGTCTGCATTTCTGAACGGTCCATTACAGGAAGAAGTTTATGTGTCACAACCTCCTGGATTTGTGAAAAAGAATCAGGAAGGGATGGTATACAGGTTGAATAAAGCTCTGTATCGACTGAAGCAAGCGCCTAGAGCTTGGAATATGAAAATTGATTCGTTTTTCAAGAAGCAGAGGTTTCAGAAATGTGAGATGGAATATGGAGTTTATGTACAACACTCTGATAACAATATGATTCTGGTGTGTCTCTATGTTGATGATATTTTGCTAACAGGTAGCTGCACATAAGATATAAAGAAGTTCTGATGAATGAGTTCGAGATGACAGATCTAGGAAAAATGACATATTTCCTAGAGATGGAGATTCAAACTCATTCATCAGAACTTCTTTGAACTTCTTCAAGATTTCAAAAAAAAAGAACCAAAATCAAACACACAGCTCACAATCACTCGTCTTTCTCAGGAAAACAGAACCAAATGCTCTGATACCATATTGGGGGGAGATACTAGGAGCATCGATACATAGTGTAAGAATAAGCACCTTTGTGAGAGATGCACCACTTGTCCACCTAAAACCTTAAAGTGATAGGTGAGTGGGTTCTCCCACTTATATATGCTTAAGTCTCCACATTCCTATGCAATGTGAGACTATTTCCCCACTTACTCACACTTGCTATATTATTCCAACAATTATAATATTTTAAAATTTCGTAAGTGTTATTATTTTTTTAAACTAAAATATTTGGGTCAACAGATTTAATAACATATAATTTTGTTATAGAGGCTTTTAATCAACTGAATTATCTGATTTAATCCAATTTAATTTTATAATTCAACTAGTAATTTGGTGATTTGAAAGTGATACATTAGTTTCACTAATTTAATAACCGGTTTGAGAGGAAGAAAAAAAATGTGAAGCTGTGAGAGAAAAAAGTTAAAAGAAAAAAATAGTTTGAGTTAAATTTTTATTTTTAATCTAAATAAATTATATATAACATAAAAAAATAAAAAATAAAAAATTATTGTGGTTATGGTCATACCATGCCTCAACATGTGTCTAATATCTTGGATCCTCTCCATTAATATTCTCTCCTTTCATTTTCTTCTTTTCTACTATCTCTCTTTTAATTTCATAATCACTCATTATTAAAAAACATAAAATAATGAAGAGAGAGATAAAGAGAAAGGAGATGGAAGGAGATAATATTGATGCAAAGGATCCCAATAGCTATTTTGATACTGATAATACAAAAAGAAAAAAAAATCATTTCTTGAGTTATAGTGAAGCTCCAATAATAAACTTACAACCAAATAAAAGTCTTATAACATATGAAAAACTCTTCAAATATGGTCAAACTTCAAAGAGTTAATCACCGATGTCCCTCAAACACTCTCATAATCCCTATATATGTCCCACTATTGAACAATTAATTTCACAATCTACCATAATATCTCAATCAACCTCTAAATATCTTAGTAAAAATAGTAATATAGTTCTACAAAACCATATTAAGATTAATTAAAAGTTAATCTCTCTTCTTTCAGCAAAAAACTTGCCAGTTATCTCTTGATCAGGAACAAGTGCAATCCAAACTCCAGTATCAGCCCCTTGCTCAACAGTAACACTTCCTGCATAACCTGTTAATGCAGTTTTCACCCAACCAGGACAGTAACAATTTATATAAATCTTTTCACCCTCTGGCCTATCAGCAAGCTTCTTTGCCATATACCTTGTATATGTATTAACCGCAAGTTTCGATACTGTATAATCAGTTAGTGTTTGAGGCCACCCTTCTGATTTCCAACTTCCATCTTCAACTTGTTGTAGAAAAGTATTTATAGTTTCATCAATAAACTCCTCCGAAAGAGATTCCACATCGCTTAGTTTCTCCCTCAATACATCATTTTCTATTCTCTGCAATCATAACATAAACACTTATATGCTTATATGTACGTATAACAGATAAAATAAAGTTACATTAATTACTCACATTTCTTTTGCCGCTTACTCGAGCCAAACGTGAACTCACATTTACGATACGAGCACCAGCTGCAGATTTCTTCATCAATGGCATCATAGCTTCAATCATTCTCTTGGTTCCATAATAATTTGTTTCTATACATTTACGTGCATTTTCAACCGCGTTATCAGATCCGGTATTGGAATTAACACCAGCATTATTTACCTACAAATAACAACATAATTGCTTAGAGACGAGTCATAATATCAACCTGTCCTCTTTTTCATTTCTTACCAGAATATCTAGGCCACCATATTTTTCCTTCAACCATTCGGCGAATTCATTGACAGATGAAGAATCTAGTATATCAAGTTGATGACAATCCACATCCAAACCACCTTCTTGTAAGACCTTAGTTGATTCAACACCAACACTAGCATCTCTTGATGTCAACACAACAGTGACTCCATGATCAGCAAGTTGTCTTGATATCTCAAAACCAATTCCTCTATTTCCACCAGTAACCACAGCAATCGTTTCCTTCGACCACCACCTTTGTATTGAAATACCAAAAATGCACAAAATATTAACACAATAAAACAATAATACTAAGGATTTTTCGATTTTCTATCGTAACCAATCCACACATTCACAAGTCAACACGTTTGTATAAGTTGGATCGAGATCAGATTGGTCAGATCTCAATCCAACGATAACCGTGTTGACTGTATGAATGCCTTGAGTTGCCACAAATTAATGCATCAAATTTAACAATGATGATATAACAGGTAGAAGATCAAATTAACCTCTGGTGATCAGAATAAGGAATGGTTCTCAAAAGGGAGATCTCTTGCAATCTCTTATCTTTACGTGATTTATCTTTGTGCCCCATATTTTTCTATATATATGTAGATTTAGCAACAATGGAGATAAATTGGAAGCAGCATTGTTTGGAGTATGGGATAATGCATATTTGAACATGAAAGAGAAGAATGTTGTATTGTTGTATTGTAATGTATCACATATCTTATGTTATCCGCATGCAAAGGATCACATTGGTGTCCTAGAATAGAATGTCACGTTATTGGTTCAAGAACACCTATGTTTTTGGTATATGGTAAATGCATGGAACTATAATTTAGGTAACATCAACTAATTTTTGTTCCCCATCTTTGGGATGTCCTTTCTTGTCATTTTTTAGCTAGCTATTTGTCATGAATTTTAATAAGAAATTTTGGTAAGATAAAAAAACAAGAAATTTTTTCTTTATTAATTTATGGAAATTGTGTTAGTGCCAACGTTTTTTGTTTGACTATTTTGGTTCCTTGGTTAGCTAATTGTATTGTTGTTTTTTAGTTTTGAAAAGTTTTGAAAAATACTTTATGTCACGAAAGAGATTATTCGTTGAGTTGTATATTAGGTCGTTCTCTTTAAATCGTTTTGTGGTATTTGTTGATAGTTAATCAGACTATATTTTTCATGCTTAAAATTTATTGTTTTTAGGAGTTTTTACGGTTAACGCATTTCTGTTTTGTAGGTTCTTAATAAAGATTCTAAAGATTCGTAGAAAATATCAAATTGAGTTGAAAATATCCTAACCAAACAAATTTGATAGTATTTTACTATGAAAAATTATAAATATGGAGCGAGGAGAGAAATGGAACACAAAGAACGGAAGAAAATAAGAGAAATATTAGAAAAAGACAGTCAATAGCGGCGTGCTCCAACAACTTAGTGGGGATATTAAATTTCAGCAAGTCATCGCGACACTCCATCAACACAGCGATGCGATCCAAACTTTCTGTCTGAATTGCAAAAACAAAGAAATCATTTGATAGTGATGAACCTAGAAGACACAACGACACTATCAAACTTTAATTGGCATAAGCAACACTTTCATCATCATAGCAGAACTCATACTTGGACAACTTGGTATACAATTGCTTCTTGTAACGCCCGTAATTTAATTAATTAATTATTTAATTAAATTATTTTTGGAGTATTTGTGAAGTTGCGAGATGTTGAGAATTATTGATATAGGTTGTTGGATTATTTTTAATTAATTAATTAGTGATTAATAATAATTATAATATGGAATTAAAGAGAATATATGAAATAATGTTGGACTTATGCTATTGGTTAGAAGTAGTAAAATGGGGGTGTAGGTTAGGCACAAGAGGATTGTTATATAAGGAGAAGCTAACACAAGGATTTGTTTTAGTTGGAGAATAAGGATTTCTGTACGCTGACCGGTGGAGCTGCGTCGACGAGGAGCAAATTTCCAGGTGTCGAGCAGAGCAAAGAAAAGTCGTCGGCTAGAGACTTTGGTTAAGCGACTTTCAATCCAGGTAAGGGTGGGGTTCTGACCTTATAATGGGATTTATGACGTGTATTACGTGGGAATTGGTCGTTTTGTGATTGTTGTGCGTAGATATTCTGAATTGCTATCGAAGTTGCTCGTTTATTCATATTGTGGCTGTTGGGAAGAACCGTATGACCGTTTAATGAGTCCATTTTAGGAAGTTGCCCGGTGATGTGTTATGGACATTTTATGTATCTGTGTGACTACCCGATCTAATCGATGAGTAGGTTAGTGTAGATTGTTGCCTGTTGTTGTGGTCGTTATGAGGGTATGGTCGTTACGATGTTAGGAATTATTGTTGTAGTTGGTCTTGTATGTTGATGAATCTGTCGATAGAAATCTAGTTGCCTGTGACTGTGTTATTCCGAGCAGTTGGCCGAAAGTTATGAATTATGGTGGCATGGTCATTAAAATGTTATATCGTGGTTGTGTTGTTGGCCGGATTAGAGGTCGGGGAGGATACTGAAGTGGTAGGTACCGAGCGGCGTTTTAGGCTGCGAGGCTGTCGGGGAATAATGCATTGAATTTTCGAGCAGAAATAGGTTGCAGGACGTGTCGAGGAGCATAGGTCAGTCGTTGCCCTGTTTTTCTCAATGCGTGTCGAGGAGTATATATTAATGGTTATGCATGTTGTGATCGGTGGATCTGGAACTGACTGTTTAACGCTGGTTCGCGAAATGTCGCGGAAGCAAGAGTCGCCACCGTCTTTTATTTTTCTCCAAATGGAAAGGACAAAAGCACAGAAAAATTCCTTAAAGAGATTGCTCTCGGTTCGGGAGGTAGGTTATAGAAAGGGAAGGTGTTAGCACCCTTTCTATCCATGGTTATCCATGGGCTCTTAGATACTTGCTCAATGTGTTTTCAAAAATGTTTGCTTGCTTTTCAATTGTGGGTTTTAAAAGTTTCTTTGAAAAATTTCAGTTCGACTCGTACGTCAGAGTGTTTGAAAAATTTGCTTTGAAAGCTTTTGAAAGTGTGTTGGTGTGAAAAGAGTTTTTGTTTTGTTTGAAATTAGAGCAAGTATCCTTGAGAACCTACCTACCCTAAGGAATTCGTCTGTGTAAATGTCCTTTAAAGTAGTACCATCCCACCATTGAGAGGTAGGTAGCACCACCGTTGGAGGTGTTCGGGTCAATTCGAGTTTAGGGACGTGGTGATCACCAGAGCAATGGGAAGACACCTTAGAAGCTACCCTCATGCCAGGTTCCCGGATCATGAGGACTTACTAAGACGTCCTCTACTCGACGACCACCTTTCGAAAGGCAACAGTGAGGCGTACCCTAGGGGGGGTGTGTGCGAATTGTGTGTCATGTTTCAGTTATTTGTCTTGTCATGTTTGTTGTGATCTACGCTTGATTTTAATTTGTCCATTCATTCTTGCATGCATATTTAATAGTTATAAAATTTGCGGAAAAGAAATCTAAGGCTATTACAAATGGCGCGGGTCCACATCGCCAAAATTAAACCGGACCCGATTTAGCGGAAAATAAATAATGCGAAGTAAATAAAAGTGCGAAAAGTAAAATTACATGGCCTTGGGAGAGATACAAAATTATTTAAACGATTATAAGATAAATGCGCGAAATAAGGAAATTAAAACAAAAATAGGGCGTTGGACCCTTTTACAAACAATTAAAATTAATAAGGAAATTAAAAATAAAATAAGAAAAAAGAATTACATGTTTTTGATATTTTTGTATTTTTTAGATTTAATAAGGAAAAGAAATTAATTGAAATTAAATTAAAAGGCAAACCCTAATTCTAATATTTTTATTTATTATGAAGGAATTAAAATATAATCTAAGTTAAACCCTAATTAATTTACGTGCAATTTTTAATTTATGAAAATAAATAAATAATATTATTATCCTAAAAAAGGGAAAAATATTAAAAGGAATAAAAAAATATCAATTAACCTAATTCTATTGTTTTTGATTTTTTGTTATGGAAAAAATATAAATTAAACCTAATTTGAAATTAGTCTATTTACATGCTAAGAAAATAATTATAATGAAATAAATATTATTTTTTGGTCTTTTTCTGATTTTTATATTTTGTAAAAAATAATTACTGAATTAAAACAATAAATAAATAAAATAAGAATTAAAAAGATATAAGGGAAATAAATGAAATTAACAAACCAGGGTGGGGTGTTGTCCCAAAATTGGAGGTGTAGGCCTGGGAATTCTGGCCCAATAATCATGGCCCTCGTTGACTTTGCCAGTTGTGTGCTAACGTGTTGACTTGGTCCTAGCATGTTCTTTACACTGGAGCCATTGATCTGCATTCATTAGGCACGTGTGCGCTTGGATGATGATGGACCATGATAGTCCTGGACATTAGCAAAGCATTGAATCTCATATTGAAAAATAGCATTGAGATTTTGCCAGACCTGGGACTTGAACCCAGGTCTTGAGGATTATTCACGTCACATGTTACCAACTGAACCAAGCGCGTTTCAATTAACATATAATAAACAATAAACAATATAATAAGAACGCGTTAGTGCTTTGGAATTTCGCGCGAAATTCAAAATAGCCAATGGCTGATGGACACGATGCCTTCGTCTTCGTCCCTGTAAAAACAAAACTCAGAGGCCACGGTTTTTGAAACGTTGCTTTAGGGCCTCTATCAGAAAATAGCGAATAGCCCCTTGTTGCTCATAAATTGAGCGCGAGGGGGCCATCCTTTTCGTCTTCAACCCCTGAATCCATTGGTGGTCATCTGGGGCTCTAATTTTGCATTATCATGAAAGCCCCAAATCTAAGAACCTGCAACCCTAATTTTTGGCAATGGTGAAAACGCATATGTGGCACAAAAAAGCAATTGAATGTAATGGTTAGCTCAGAAACATCATTGTAATCAATAATCCATAAAGAAACATGCAAAAGAATGCTTAATTCATGCTATGCGATTTCAAGATTTTCTTGGTACAGTTTGAGTTCTTGATACCAATTCAGGATGTTTTTGCTGTTGTTAATGATTGGAATGTGTCCAAGGATGTCTCAGGATGCTAATGGGATGAAGATTGAAGCTTGGAACGACCTAAAACCTTGATTTCAGATTTCAGTTTTTAGGCAATTTTCTCAAGTTTGTATATTGGTTTTTGGCGCAGCTTGCAGTCTAAAAACATTAGGGTTCTGATCTTGGATATGTATAGAGGCTATTAGGTTAAAAACATTGCACAAAATCCTTTGCCATGATGATTTCAATCTTTGATTTGTTAAGGATCTTTTCTAATCTTTTTCTCATGTATTTTGGTTCAATCATGATCAATTAGCACCAAATCTTGCCTATTTAAGATATGCACGAAATATTGACCTTGGAATGTGCATAAAAAGATTTTTTTAGGTCAATCTTATATTTTTCATGTATTAAAATAATTTAAATGAATTAATATTGATATAAATTCAAATAAATAATTAAAAAATATGAAAATACTTCCCTTTGGGCCTAATGGTCGTGCATAGGCTTGGCATGAAGAAACTTGGAAGAAAAATGGGCCCATTTGCATTTTTGGATTATTTGAA